TCATGATGTAGTTATTTTCGAGTCAAATAGGCGTATTGCGAGCCTTTCCTCAAGCGATAAGGTCGACAGGGTACGTCGATACTAAGGTGTCGTTGCCGGACGACAATTTGGACTCGGCTGATTCGATTTTTTTTTTTTAACAACTTTATTCGCTCAAGTTACTCCAAACTCCTTAACTCACCTTGTTTTTTATCTCACACATTATTTTTTTATGATGTTATTATTTTCGAGTCAAATAGGCGTATCGCAAGCATTTCCTTAAGCGATAAGGTCGACAGGGTATGCCGATACCAGTTGTGTCTTTAGGTCTTCGAACGCATAAAGTCGGCCTTCCCTACAAAATCCTCCTTTTCCCACGCGGGTTAACAATAACGACCAGTCTGTTACCATATTTCGCTTGACTATGATCCCTAAAGTCTAACACTTAAGATATCTTCATTGTTACTCAAATAATGATTTTGTTATATTGGCGACGAAAACAGCGAACACTTATATCCAACGAATCAATTTCTAACTCTGTAAGTTTTTGAAGTCAATCAACTAATTAAGCTTTGGTGAGCTATTATCTCCATTTATTGCTCTAAGAAACGACAAACGTCACATATTTTGTCAATAACACCTTCTGGTGCGTGGCACGTGTAGGTGAGATCTACAGTTCTGCACTACTTAGCGAGCGCCGTTAGAAAAAGCGAACAAAAAAATATATCTTCATGATACACATATTACAAGTGGAGGCGTAATTGTTTCGAAGCAACTCCTAGTGCTCTTAAAAAAACCTAATTTGGGGTTGAATAAACAAAGAGTGGCAACTGTCAGTAATTGATAGTGGCATTAAAATGAATAAAACCCGTCACCACAAGTTGATATCTTTAGCCTAAGGCTATGTCATTCAAATATGGACTATTTTTCGCCAAGTATTGTGTCCCATGCTAAGCTATTGAAAAAGCTTTAAAATTCGAATGAAACATCTGCTTGAAAAGTTGATTTCATTTCTGTCATATTTTTTTACGTAAGTAAAAAGGCTTACTACGACTACATTTGGGCAGAAATACCCGACGAAAATAATTTGCATGGCAATCCATTTCCCGTTGTGTATGTCAACACTGAGTAAACGGCTGGTTCTTGCCAAAAGGAGTATTATCACAAGCCTTGCATTTGTATTGGCAAAGGATATTTCGGACCGATATCCAGCCACTGACAATTTTCTAGAAGGTTGCATTTGGTTCAGCTTACAGGAACTAAACTCATCCAACGGAAAAAATAATGATGACGAGAAGCTGTCAGTTGTGGGGAACACTCCTGTTATCAATAACTATGTTGAGTGAGTACCAAAGTTTCTTTTAAAAGATTGATTTCATTTAGAATGCATCCTACGCGCGCTCCGAGGAGTCCATCTTAAGGCTGCCCTTTGAAAAGTCTCCGAAATAAAATTGAGCGCGAGCAAAGACCGTTAAAACTTAGAATAGTTTTAGATTAGGCGATCCTTGGTGGCAGGTGGCCACGCAGGCAATTTTTTTTGGAAGCCATGACGAAATATTTTTTAGGGGATCTAATTCAGGGAGCCATCTAACCTATTTATTATTGAGAAACAGGCTTAAAGCTTGTTCAAACTCGTGGGTCTATCATGAAAAAGTAAAGCTTTTGCGAAAACATGTAAACGGCGATGGGATATTTTAAGCCGGGATTTTTTTTTCCAATTTATAGATATGCAAATTCTGCAATGACTAAACAGGAAGCTGAAATTTAGGTCGCCTCTCACCTTTCACAAACTACTGAGCCTTGCAGCTTAACGATACTATTTCAAGTCTTGTAAGTCTCGTTTTCTCCTTGGCAATTTTATATGAGTCAGTTTTTCCTAGGTATTTAATTTATCATTGATCTGTAAACAATATCTGAGGAGCAAACGTCGTTATGCAGAAATATTCTTTACATCCAGGGATGCACTCATGTATTTCTCAATTCCTACGCTACAAAACGTAGTTATGGAAAGAAGGCTCACTCTTTAATCTTAGAGGGGCCGCTTATTTTTGCAAAAAATAGTAATAACATATAAAAAAAAAATAAAATAAATCGAAACATGGATAAATTAATATAAATAAATGGTGTTAATAATACAAAATGAGATAAAATACTGAGATTTATTGTTTTTTTAGAGGGCACGGTAACGAATCCTGCAATCTGATTGGTT